GGGGGGGGGGGGGGGGGGGGGGGGGGGGGGGGGGAAGGGGATTGCTGGAGAAAGAATCAAGGGGAAGGGATGCTCAACAATCGCTAGTGAGTGGCACATGAATTCTCTCCCTTTGTTTTTTTTTTAAAGCATACTTTCAATGTCGACTTTAAAGAATTATTATGCTGTAATGCGTTACTGCGCAATCCTGCAGACATCACTGCCACATAGGATGTTGACAGCAACCCTGTCTCTACTTGCAGATGGAGACTACTGGATGTCAGAAATGAAGAATGTTCTTGAAAAGAAGATGAAGACCGGAATGCCCAATACGAAGAGAGCAAAGAACGTGATCATCTTCGTGGGAGATGGGATGGGACTTCCCGTTACTGTCGCTTCTAGGATCTACAAGGGACAGCTGCAGGGTTTGCCTGGCGAGGAGACCAGTCTCAAATTCGAGACCTTCCCTTCCACTGGACTCATTAAGGTTCCTTCCTTTCCCTTTCCTAACCCCCCCATAACATTTCCATACTGGGATGAAAGTGTGCAGACTTGACAGACCCAGAGTTGCTTGACATCGGCAATGCCAGTACCTGAAGGCTAAGTGCAGGAGAATGAATATTGAAACTATAAAACGTCATATCCTTTCAAATTATTTGGCCATGACTTCATTCAGGTACTCCCTCGACATAAAATAAAATTGTTTTCGACCGTTATGCAAGCTGGTCACAACCCAAACACTGAATTTAACCATGATTTGGCTGGCATTTGAAACTTTTCCGCCATTGTCGTAGCGAGAGATAAAAATGCACGTCATTGCATAAGCCTACCATCTTTTTAATAGTCGAAAAAAGCATGTAAGGTCGAGATCCGGAAGGAAGATAACATCTACTCCAGGGTTTCTCAACTGGGGACCCGCAACGAGGCTCTAGCTACAGGATCAAGATCTAGATACAGTGATCAGGTCATTACATAAATAACGAAGAAAGAAAAATAAAATAAAAAACGTGCGTTGACGTACGTCAACTTCTAAAATATTGTCTTTACTTGCCGTAATTTTGGAAGCTTATAAATTTAAGCGATAGCGAAGGGGGTCTGGTTAGTTCACCTCTATTCCGGAAGGAGGTCCGCAGGATAAAAAAAAAAGGTTAAGAACCACCGACCTAGATTCACTGATCCATTCCTCAGTAGTGTACCGTTGTAGAAAAATCAATTGAGGTCATAATTGATTGAGGCATAGAATGTGACTGGAAGTCTGGGCTTTGGATCCCTCTACTAGGCCGGGTGGTTCTATAAAAATGGAGTGATGAATGAATGCGAAATGCCTTATTCTTCATGCATGATGCCGTTATATTCTTGAGGAGCTGAAAGGAACATATACAGGGTGTTCTAAAAGTTTATGACCCACCCAAAAAAAGGCTAATTGCTGTCTGCGCTTGTGAAAAAATCCTGACTATTACACGGGCTACATGAAGATCCGTGTGATCCGCCCAGGCGATGCGAAATTTCGCCATGAAAAGTCTGTGCAGGACGGAGCCCCCTGCCACTCAGCTGGCTTCGCGTTCTGCGTCATCGAAGAGATTAGGGTATTGGTCTAGATGTTACCAAGGAACTGTCTGGACTGCCACACCAGCAGAGTGCTCTGCGTCAGCTCCACCCCATAAATCGGGCGTCAGTCATTACCGGGGTTCCCAGTGGAGTGAGGAACCAGCGCGACGAGTGTCGTCTGTCAGTTGGTTTGGCCTACGGAATTCTTGGCTGTGTGAAATGAATATCAATATATTCCCGGTAATCTCGTCTCCATCTTTATTTTAGTGAGTCAGAAACTTTAGAAACATCCTGTACATTCCGTGTCAAATGAGTCCACGTCCAAAGTGAAATAATCATCATGTCAAGTTTAAAAGTCAAGTCAAAAGTAAATAAAAGGACAAACAGGGAAAAAGAAAAAGCGAGAACTAAAACAGGGATAAGTAAAAACAAGGAAAAATAAGCAAGACATGCTATTTCATAAAAATAATAGAAAACCAAATGAACAGTTGTCAAAGGCACATATGAAGTCCCAAGGAATAAATACAAAACCAATCAGGGAACGGTCCGATGCCATCATGTCTGGGGATAAAAGCGTTTGATGCCAGTCAAGAAGTCTCGGAATGGCCTGGCATCATGGATGGAGCGCAACCAGGCCTCATAAAGATGGTATTGTGACATATTTTGAGTCGTTCCCCGTCCCCTCGTCATAACTCTCGATTTGACTAGTGCCCAATGAGATTCTATCCATAGTGTATTGCATCCTGTTATTGGGTCAACAAAGTTTTATGAATGATTAACTGTTTTATGCATAAAACCATGTTGACTTGGGCTTTCGTACGCCTTCCATTCGTCAGACCATATTTCTGTACCTGGATTATTGTGGCTTTAGATTATTGTAAGTAAGATGCGTCTGTCCCTCTTTGGGATTAGCAGGAGGCGCAATTCAGTAACACCATCATGGTGCCGGGCCATTCCGAAAACCCAAGCACCCCCATAATTTTGGCGTGCGGGAGGAACAGAATTCCCTTGTAGCATTCGTTCTCTGTTGTTCTTACGCCTGACCCTGAAATTTTGATCACAAGCCGGGTAATTCAGTTCAGGTAATTCAGGAAGGCACCGAAACAAAAGGCAAATTAATCTAATGGGAAGTAACTTGCATCAATTTGAATTATTGGCCTTCCCATGGGAGGGCCAGGAGAGTCCGGGGGAGAGGCGGGCCAGGGGCCCCCTCTAAATCCCAAGTTCTAGGTGCTTTTCTTAACCTTTGTGTGCTCTATATCATGATTTCCAAGTCGTTTTCGCTCGCTCTCGGCCTTTACGATCCACAGGGAAGAGGCCTGATCCCACCGCTACAACTATAAATGGGATTATTTGCAGCCCCTTACACGTGCAATACAAAGGAATGATGGACAAGACGCTTACCATTTTCCCCCATCACTTGGAATCCAGATCGAGCTGTCCATGAGATGCAACTCATGGGATAAATTGAGGTTATTTCCACTTCGTCCTTTTCGTATAGAGCTATTGCGTAGATCGTCAGGTGCCGGATTCAGCATGCACGGCGACGGCTATGTTCTCGGGGATCAAAAGCCGATATTACACGATGGGCGTCGACGTCCACACCAACTTCGATGATTGCCAGTCCTCCCTGGAGAACGCTGACTATCATCCCGACTCCATCATCGTCTGGGCCAAGGAACAGGGAAAGAAGACAGGTATTTTTCTGCATACTACAGGGTGATTCACTAGGTAGAGGTCCTGGGATTTCGCTATTTTATTTATTTATGAACAGATTTCCATAAAATTTGGTTTACAGTAAACAGACCTCATTCAATCATCTTGATTTTGAGGTTAATTGTGCTGAATTTTTAATGGAATGAGGTCTGTTTTAACCAAATTTTATGGAAGTCGGTTCATAAATAAAATAAAATATTAACGAAATCCCGGGGCCTCTATCTTCAGAATCACCCTGTACTTTTCTTATTCTAAGGACGTCCAGATAATTTCCGGGGAAAGAAAATGACAAATTCTGATTTAGGATTGAGATACCAGGCATTTAGGCACATTCTCATGGATAAAATGTAATTTTCTCTATACCATTGGAAGATCTTCCCCTTTTTCTGAAATTAAAGTTGGATACTTTTCTGAATTGGTTTCTATGGGTGAGAATCACTCAGAGATCTCTCTGATGATTGGTAATGATCCCTATAGGTCTGGTGACGACAATGAGGGTGACGCACGCGACACCAGGAGCCCTGTACTGCCATACGCCCAACAGGGACTGGGAATGCGAGGAGTTTATGCCACAAAATGCCAAGGATAAATGCCTCGACATCGCCAGACAACTCATCGAGAAGGAACCCGGGCAATACATGAATGTCCGTCTGAAATTTCTTCAGCATTTCACATTTCAAAATCACAACATGTACCAAATTAATTTTCTTGCTGTTATCTGAAAAAAGCGGTATATTGTTGCCTCAGACCAGTCCAGAGACAACTTGAAATGATCATGAGTGACTTTATGATTTAAAAAGCTCCTAAGAGATCATTGACGGTAAAAGTCTGGTTGAACAGGATAGCTCAGGGCAGATCATATCCCCCAAATCCAAAGCAGGTCATCGTTCACTTCTTAAAATAATCAATTCATTCAAGCTGGGTGAGGTGCTCGTCTACCTGGCGTTTTCCCATATTTTTTAAATTCTCTAATCCCGAAACACTTAGGTGCTAATTGTCCTCTCATCTATGTACCCTGTCTTGTTTTCAGGTAATCTTGGGAGGGGGTCAGAGATACTTTCAACCGGATATTCCTGGTGCTTGCAAACGGATAAAAAACGTGAACTTAACCCAACTTTGGATCGATCAGAAGAAAAGGCTCAACCTGACTTGGGCTTACGTCAAGACTAGGGAAGAGTTGATGGCCGATGGGAACGAGAAAAAGGATCATGTCCTTGGTGATTTCTCTTGCTTTGTTTGGGGAGATAGAAATTCAATGTGGAAGAGGGAAGAGGGGGAAGCTTGCTATTAGCTTCCATGTTGGATGGCGATAGGAGAGAAGATTTTGGTAAAAATCGTCAGTAGAAGAGTGCTTTTTCTCCGCACAGAAGACCACGTATATCCAGAGGACTTTCATGAGGTCACTGTCAGAGTGGGTGCAGTAACGCGTTACAGTAAAGACAAACTCAGTAAAGAGAAACGATGAATCGTTCCTATTCCCCCAGTCGTTACGCAGCCTAGGAACAAGCTCCGAATTTCGCGCAAAAGAATACGGCTATATTGTTACCAACAGCTAGTTCGTAATTACCAATAAGAGTTGACGAAAAAGACTGATGATGCGTCCTACACCCTTGTTATTATTTTGATGAACCTGATGCAACCACTAACCCCTTACACCTTTACGTACAAGTACGTAATGACGGGGGAGAGGGGTAGTCCTCATGTCCCTTGTGCTTTTGTAGCTCGTGCCTTTAGAGCAGGGGTGCCCAAAGATTTTGGTCATGGGGGCCGCATAGCCTGTAGGGTACGGGCTCGTGCGCCGCATAATTGAAATCTGGATTTCTACATGGTAAATATGATACAAAATTTTTTCCCCCTAGTTTTGACCTAATTCAGCATGCTGTTTAGCAGGAGTGGGCCTCACTTTTCTTGTCTCTCATCATCCAGCGACGGTTGAAATGGAAACTTAGGAAGAATTAGGAGTTTTTGACGTGATTCTAAACCAAACTGCCAGGTTTGCCTGGGCTGCCAAACTATCAGAGATTAGCTCAATTCTCTTGAATGGTTCAATGGAGACGAATTCCGAAGGTTTCCTTTTTCCAAGGGCACCGTCGCTGACTTGGTGGGGACAATGGAGCAGCAGCTGGCACACTGCTCATCATTTTCTTTGCATGGGCTCCCATTCTGCCTTTAGACGTGTTTAATTCGTCCACGAAACGTTCACTAATATGATTTTCGGTGGGGCATGTCAAAGAAACACTTTCTTAAGCATGTAAGGGTGTTCATCCCGTCTTTAAACTTATCCGGTTCCTCCATTGGTGTATGTCACACATTGTATTCGTGAGCACACTTGTCTTGAAATATGCGATTTTTTTCATTGATGCGAGGTTTTCTATGCACGGATGATATGGCCACAGAAAAATATTATCCAAACTGTAACTCGCAAATCCACGCTGTCGCTTGGTATGGAGCCGCTCGATTGATAATCCCAGTCATCGTGGAATGAACCAGTTTCGACGACATTGTCCCTGTTTGTTTGTCCTATGGGAGACGTGACATTCAAGCCCTACAGATGAGGCTAGTGCAATAAAGTCCAGGGTTTTGCTCCTATTCTCCCTTCACCTACAATCCCTAGATGGGATTGTAGAAATAGATAGGTATGTCAGAAGGTGCCATGAAATGTTATACATTATTTTCATGTGAATCTCTTCCTGCGGTATATTTGAGATGTCGTGGAGGCCATATTGGGAGGATTCTGACTGTATGAATTTATCAGAGAAATTTTTCTGTTACAAAAAATGCAAAGGAGCTCTTAGGAATGATGCATGCAACGCATATTTTCAGCAGAATTTGGCAGCCCCGCTGATTCTCTCGCCCTTACAAATGGCGCCTAGATGTCAAATCCAGTTAAGCGCCTCATGGTTACCCTCGATAAAAGTGTCAGGATGATTCCATGTCCGAGAATTTTGGCCAGAAATAGACTGTGCTTACCCTCAAGTGAATTTAAACCCAGTCAGGCTTTACTTCGTTCATTCCGCAGCACATAAAATCATTCATTCATTTACCTGTACATCATCATAATCATTTAATTTTTTCTCCAAAACTCCTCGCGGGCCGCACAGAAGCTCTTTGCGGGCCACACTAAGGGCACCCCTGCTTTAGAGGGTGATTTTCTGATTGAAGAGTAACGACAGTCACCTATTGGGGAAAAGCAGTAATAATGGCTACTATATATATAGTTTCGTTTTTGAAACCGACGAGTGACCTTTTTTTGCTAACGGTCACAACCCCGGTCACAATTAATTTACGTTACGTGAAAGGGAAGCACATTTTGAGAAATAATTTTTGCAATCTTCAGCGAGTACGGGATAATATATTGTCTGGCCTTTTAGGTCTTTTTGCTGGCAGTCACATGTCCTACGAATTGGATAGACAGAAGAATCCCTCATCGACACAGCCAAGCATCCAAGAAATGACCCGTTTTGCCATCCGAAATATGAAGAACGATCAGGGATTCTTCCTCATGGTAAGAAGCCTTTTTCATGGACGCCACTCATAAGATTTAAATCAATGTTTTTCCGCCCCGTTCTTATACAAATATGTATCCTCTGCAGGTTGAAGGAGGGAATATCGACTACGCCCTCCATGACGTGAATGCCAAGAGGGCAATGGTGGACTTGCTGGCCATGGAAGACGCCGTGGCAACAGCCATGAAGGAAATGGAATCCGAACTGGACGAGACCCTGATCATCGTGACGGCAGATCATTCTCACGTGATGACCATCAATGGCTACCCGAAAAGAGGAAACCCTATTTTGGGTACGAGCTCGAAGTTTCCCCATAACATGCACACAAGAGAAACAGAGGGGTATTTTATTTTAAATAATTTTAATGCCACATACGTGGGCACTTGTTTTTTACACATGCAGGAATCTCTGAAGTTTCTGTGGCGATGGACCTACCTTACACAACGCTGATGTTCACGAACGGTGGCTACTGGAAGTACAAAGTTGACCCGAAGAACAGCAGCCAGGTGGTCTGGCAAAATTTCACTCAGGAAGAAGCGATGAAGGACGACTATCATCAAATGCAGGCCGTGTATATTGGCGGAGACCTAGCAGAGACCCACGGCGGAGAAGACATCGCTGTCTATGCAACAGGTGAACCAATCACTATTTACCTACGCGTCCAAACCTTTCGATACAGAGCGGCAAGAAGCCTGTGGTCAACCCCCAAAAACAGCGAAAATAAATTTCGGGAAGTAACAATATACCAAAACATGTGGCATTTAAAAGCATACGAAGTACTGTGAAAACCAATTTTCAATGGCTTTCCCTTTCTCCACCCCACCCTTCTCTACGGGACTCACTAACGTTAGGCCTAACCAACAGACTGCCTTCAGGTTACGCCAAGGCCGACCTTTTTTCTTTCAATAAACACTCAATTCTCGACTTAGTGGACCAATTAACCCTATGAGGGTGAATTCGTATTCTTCGAGACATCTCCTTGAGGACGTGTAACGTTAGGCCCATCGCAGGCCTATTCAAACGTTCACGAACCATTTCAGAAAGGGCATGTAACGTTAGACCGATTTGAGGCCTGTTTCGCGTTTCTTGAACCATTTCAGTGAGACATGGAACGTTAGGCCTATCAGGAGTTCCCCGAACCATCTCAAATAGGTCTGAGGAGGGAATGTATCCAAGAAGCCTGGAATCCATGGCGAGCGCTGTCCTGGTAATTCAGGGATGTCCAGATAAGATATCTCCATATCCCACCACATCGATCAATCAATACTAACCATCGCTTCATTCTTAGCTCATCTCATGAACTCAGCACAAAAATGTCTCGCACATTAAAAAAAAAAAACAGAAGATCCAGAGCCGACACGAGGGTAGTCGCTAGAGGGCGGTACCGGAACCAGCAATCGAAGCCTAATTGAAGACAGCTAATTTCACTTTTCATGGCAAAATGGTGCATCGCAAACAACAAAAATGGCACTTTTCGTCATCTAGGAGTCAATCTCTTTTCTTTTCCAGTCAGTCTCTTTCCTCCGAAATCCCCCCAGAAGTGGCTACCCAAAGGGGAGGGGGGGGGGGGGGGGGGGGGGATCCATGGATACTTGACGGCTGACAAGTAGAGACGCAAAGACGTTACTCCCCAGAGGTGGCTACCCAAGGGGGGGGGGGGGGGGGGGGAAAGGAATGAAATTCACATCCTCCAAAAACGAGATTCAGTGTTCTTCACAACCCCACGGGGATGGAGCTTCAAGTTTTCTGGAGCTATTCTGTGTTGAGAGAGGAACAGCATGCCAAATTTCGTTGCAGTTGATGCTCTCAGAGAGGAATAAAAGGATTCGTTGCCAGCCGTCACTTTTCCCAAGTGACGGTTTGGATGAACTTGCAATCTCGACTTAACGGAAATCTCATCATAATTAATTCGGGATGGGAAATACATTTTTTCCTCATCCCTCATACCTTTCAGGAGGAAAAGTCAGGAGAAAAAAAACATCGAGATCTTCCAGGGATAACTCCAAGGATATGACAGTACTCTAATTCATAGAAATCCTTTTCCTCTTGCGAAAGCCCTATCTACAGTGATGGCATAAACTTTCCTAATGTTTCTCACTTTTGACTTTATGGTGCTCTAACTCTCCGACTAGATATGGTACCTGAAACTCAATACCCTATTCTAATAGCTATGCCTCTTATCTTTTATTAGCTACAAGCTGTTAATCAATTGCGTCAATTCGTCCAACAAACTCCAACTAAAGAAAATATAATTTATTGCCACTCCTCGTTTTCCCCTCAAAATAATTTTGCATGATTTCATTTGTTACAATTTTTTAGATAGCTTTTCTGAATTTTCCACTACATATTACTCTTGTACTTCAAAACGAAATCGATATTCTTCAAGGTTGTATCGATTCCACCTTCCCCACGTATACTTAAGGACAAATGAATAATAACGGTTGGTAACGGTTGGTTCGATGTAGGGCCTTGGTCGCACCTTCTGGTGGGAGTCAATGAGCAGAGTTACATCGCACACGTCATGGCCTATGCTGCCTGTATTGGACCCCACAAGACTCGGGATGGTTGTGATGAACACATCGCAGCAGCCTCCAACCCTGATACCACCGACCCCGTCCACCTCTCGCTTCTGCAACTCAATAGCGGCAACAGCAACGAGGCCGCAGCCACCGAAGGCACTCACCTCCCCGGCAAGGCAGGACCTCCGATTCACATCACCTTCTGCCTCTCACTTCTGCCACTCATCACTCTGTTTCAATAGTTGGATTACCTGATTTCGGGCGATGAGAGATTCACGGGTATGTCAGACTTGCCAGGACATGACCTGCCGCTCGTCGAACATGCTTTAGCCACCACAATATTTTCACAAATTCTTCCTTATGTAGGATCTTATTGCCGCCTGGATTGGGCTCTACAAGACTCGGGAAAGTTGCGATGACGACATCACAACCTCCATCACTGACGCAGCCAACGTCGCTAAAGTTACTATCGTCACCGAAGGCATCGTCGTCACTAAAGCCACTATCGTCACCAATGGCACCGTCTTCACTTGTCACTACCGTCACTGAAGGCACTGACCGCCTCAAACATCCCAGACAAGGCTGACCGATTCTCATCAGCCTCTAGTTCTCACTTCTACCACTCATCACGATGTTACAATAGTTAAGGCACTTGATTACAGGCGAATAGAGATTCACGAGTTTGTCACGGTGTTGCCAGTCAATTACTTATCAGTCCTCGAACATGCTCCCGTAACCACATTGATTTCACAAATGTCTCCCTATTGAGAAGAAATGAAAGAGGTTCACTCAAGCGTGCATTTCTCTTCGCGTTCTACTCATTCCCATTCCTAAAGCTAGGTTCACACCAACCGCATGGCAGAGCATAGGGCGACATAGTGCCCTTGTGCTGTCAAAACCTAGGCTCTAGGGTCTGTGCGAAGAGTTGAACTGGATTCAACATAACGCACAAGGAACCCATGCTCAGCCAATCAGAGCGGAGATGTGTCGTCAAACTCATGGCGGTTTGCATGGAGGAACTCCTTATAATTGAAGTCCATTGGCCAGTGGTCTATGAACCGACCTAAACAAGAACCACTGGTATCTAAAAATGTCCCCTTGATGCAGGACCATTATGAAAGGCTGTACTATTGCGTATATTTAACGAGGCCTAACTTAGCCTGGAATGAGGACTTATTGGGGGAGTGAGGATTTCTCGAGCCTTCGTCTCTGACGATCTCCTCTCTGCCTCCGAACGTGACATACTACGGTTGAAAGGATCGATGTCAAAAGCAGGGCATCAACATCCATAATGGGGAATAACACGATTTTATTAAGCAGGGTCTACTCGGACTTCACCCAGCCAGCTGCCGAGAGGCCTATGTGATGCGCCATATTGATGACAGGAACCGCATAGCGCGACGCCAGTGTGAACAATGTTATGCTATGCGGTTGGTGTGAATCTAGCTTAAGAGTTTTCATTCGAGACCTATACGTTCTCGCGGCATTTTGGGATATTTCACTAATGAAACTCTATTTCAATGAACACCGTCACGTGGAGAATCTGTATTAGGTGATTTTCCTTTTTGTTCAAAAAGTAAGGCTACGAGGAGAGGCCTACGACTAGATGTATAAAAATATGAAAGGGAATACACAGGATATCAAGACTTTAACATCTGCACAAAAATCAAAATATAAGTATTCCCCCAGGCAGACAGAGGAACTTAAGAAAAATATGCGTTTATATTAGACGAATATTTTCAACTGTTGACTCCCTCCTCATCATCCACGATAAAATCCCCACCTCCTATTCCTTGGTCGTTCAACCAGGCAATTGGTAAAATCTCTGGACTCTGGATTAGTGTAGGCCAAAGTTTCAAAGTCACAAAATTCATTATCGAAGTCACAAAGGTAGTACTCAGGGCACTGCCGCCGTTGCGCTAAATCGAGTGTGACGTCATGATACTGGGATCTGCCAAACATTCACAGGGCAAACAGGTCCTCTCCTGAAAATCACTTTTTACGGAACAGACCCTCTGGCTAAATCTGGTTATTCGGCGAAACAAGTTGTCTGCAAAACGTAACGGTCAGTAAATCGAGTTGTCTAAAAACGCCTCGTTTACGAATACGAATGCTTCCATAAAGTTCTCTTGCAATGGCTTTGATCAGGGATCAGGAAATTAAATAGCATATCCTATGCAGTAGGTACAGAGTTTAACGATTTAGATGAACTATCAAGGAGGTGTTGGGCCTTAGGGCTGGAAAAATTAGGTTTACTGATGAGATTAGGAAGCACGCATTCATGATTATGATTGTTTTGTGAATGCTGAATCCATGGGGGATAGTCCTGACTCATTTACGATTCATAAATTATTCTTTGTAGTTCAGAAATTATAACGTAGAATTCAGCGATTGAGAAACGACCCTTTACTTATCGAACGATCAGCACAATGCAAGGCAGAGGTAAATTTTAAGTGACAAGCAAACGATGTAACGTAACACAGGCGATCGAAGCTGGTCCTGACTTTTGAGACATCTGACGGACGGAACGAAAAATTATTGTTGCTTTGTGGCGAGTACAGAGGGGCCCACGTTTTGGAATCTTCAAATTCGATCCTGGGAGCGATACATCGAATAAATGGGTCCCGGATTGGATGGATTTGACGGGAATATCATGGCGTTGAATCATTATTGGGTCACAATAATGCCAGATGGGCGTGGTCCGATTAAAAAATGTCAACCGAGACAACCCAAACCGATAAATTTATTATTACAAGGGAACTGATGATTCGAGGGAACGAGATCTCCTTTCTCAGGGATATACTCGTATAGAAGCGGTGGAAAGGATGCGAAAATTTCAGATGATAGAAATGACACCAAAGTTGAAAGGGAGAACAATGAAGAGACTGTTAGCAAATGAAACATCCAAGGAGGAACATGAAATGAAAACAATAACACCATCACCAAGAAAGTGCACATTACAGCAATAAATAAATGAATGAGGGGCGAGACGCGGGAAAGGAGGGGGGGGGGGGGGGGCCAGGGGCCTGATCCTCTGCTAAATTACGAGCTATATCCAAATCTAAACTTGATCTAATCTAAATGCAAATTAAGAAATCTCAAGAAGAGGTGTGAAATCCCTGAACCCCTTCCCTCTCGGTTGCATTGCAGTCCATGGATGGTCATCAAATACCTAGTTGATGGCGGGTTTCAGTTCTTCAATCCAGAATTTCTCACGTCTTTCTAAGAGCTTCACGGTGGTGATCATTTTTGCCAAAGTGGGTTTGCCAGAATTTTAGTCTGGCACAACGAATGTGCTCTTTGGCGCGATCGCCATCGTTCTCATTCTAGCCGAAAGCTCTGGTACTGCATTACCAGATGCTTGTCTTCACATTCTTTATGTAGCAGATATCCTAAAGTGTGGCAAAGAAATAGGGTTCACTTTCGTTTAAGACTCAGTACTTGTGAGTACGAGTGAAGCCCACATAATTGGAAACTGTGAAGACACATTTTATTGCATCGACCAAATACCTGCTGATTTTTATAAGAAGTCAGCTATTGGCCCATTTTAAAAACCAGATACTCACAGAAAGGATTTGTACAATTTATGAAGAGAAGACCAGAAGTGATAAGATCGTTACTTGTCATTACTTCATGAAGGAAGAGATCCATCGACAAACTATTACAAGGATCTTGGCAAGGTTTTAGGTTCGTGGTACAGCGATCTGCAAGCTGATCCCTGGTCGATCGGCAAAAATAGCCCGGAAAAAGAAAGTCGGAGAGATCAAGAAACTCCTGAAGAAAAAGTGAAAAACTTCCATAACTACAGGCGCTAAGAACACGAAGCTGAAGAATTACTCTTGGATAGATAAAGAGGAACAGGTTGGGCATCAAAGGGCACCAACAACAAGTTCTCCCCAAATGCACCCAAGGTCAGAAGGGGTGGGCAAAAAGCTGGATGTCTTTGGGTCTACACCGAACTCGCCGGTTCTCGTGGTCAGTCTCGATCATTCTCGTGGATGACGAGACTCACGTTCCAATGGATTCCATGAATATCCCTGGGAGGAAGTATTGTCATTGTTTCAACAGGAGCGACGTGGTCAATGAATTCAAGTTCAAACGAGTTTAAAACTCGCTGAACAATATCTGGTCTGACAGGAATTTCATGAGTCTGGCCACATTTCAGTTCCCTTCGTATCAAATGGTACAATGACTGCCGAAGTGTACCTAAACCAGTGCCTGAAGAAGATACTCCTTCCTCTCATTGAAAAATGCCACAAGGACCAGGTCATTTTCTGGAGGGACATGGCTCATTGTCGTTACGAGAAAATGGTCCAGGTTTGGATATAGTCCCAGGGTATCAAGTTTGTGACCAGATACAGTGAAATTTGTGAAATGCGGCCACGAGGGGGACATTTAAAATTTGGCCGGTTCTAACAGGTCGCCGTTCTAGAGGGGAATTTTTTTCCGCTTTTTCATCTTGGGTGAGGCAGTTATCAGTGTTACAGGAAAATTGAACGCTGTTCACTCCAAAGGTACTATAATTACGATTTTGTCCGATTTTAAGTACAATATGTACACAGAGAGAAATTGAGATACCTATATCTATGTAAAGAAGTATTGAATCTTCGTTTGACGTGCGTGCATTTTTTTAAAACCACACTCGTTCCTGAAGAGATTCTTGAATCATCGTGATTGCTTCAACCGACCCCTTCTCTGTCAAAAAACACTTCAGCTTCTCCGTGACATTTAATGCTTCCGCAAGGTCTTGGAAGTCAGGCAGCGGTTCCTCAGATCCATCCTCTGCTCCTTACGCATCCTCCTGTTTGGTCTCGGAGGTAGCAGGTTCCAAATGATGCAGAACTTTGGTCTTCCAATCTCCTTGCTCAAAACTCTCGCAAGTTAGCAAGGAATCGTCCAGTGACAGGAAGTCAGCAGAATTCATGTCACTGGGGAAGATCTCCAAGAGCAGGTTCATTTCCTCCAACTGAAAGTCCTCAGTCAACCTGGTCGTCCTCAGGAGCAGACAGCGTGACTTAGGTATGACTCCAAAAGCCACAATTCTTGCAGCACTTTTGGATAGTTTCACTGCTTACAGCATTCCAAGCTGCCGAGAGTCCATACCCAGCATCAATGACGCTGAGCTTCTTGGAGAGATCGCTGATCTTATCGCATTCATCCATGGGAGAAATGAGGATTTTGAGCAAACGGTTTCGGTAGTGGCACTTCAGGGCTCCAATGATTCCTGCATCGAGATGCTGAAGGCAGGAATGTGGTATTTGTTGGAAATCGCTTGATTGTGATCTGTTCTAAACTGACGTCTGGATGACTGGAAACATTGTCCCGAAACAAAAGAATCTTCCTGCCTTGGAACTTGAGCTGCGCATTCCAGACCTTTAAAAAAAATCCAACATGATCTCGCTAGTCATCCACGCTTTCTTGTTGCTGCGCCACATCACAGGCAGATTCTGAACGCCAATGTTGCGGAAACAACGAGGCCTCGCCGCTCTCCCGATCACCAAGAGTTTCCTTTTTTCACCAGTCATGCTAACACAAGCGAACAGTCATCCGTTCCTTGGAAAGTTTCTCGCCGTTCGCCTTTTCCGAGGAGAGAATAAAATACTTTGTTGGTTGTGCTCGATAAAACAAGCCCGTTTCGTCGAGATTAAAAATATCCTCTGGGGCGAAGTCTTCACAAAGAGCAGGAAGCCATGTTTTCCACGATACTACTGTGTCCACGGACACGTCCGCAGATTCCCTACAGATGACTTTGAACTTGATGGAATAACGTTTCCGCCAACTCTCCAACCATCC